AGGCCGGGTGAGACCGTGGTGGAAGCTGCTTTTATTTGATTCTGAAGCAAGTGGTGCGAGTGGTGTCAAATTGGCGTGAGTTGCATTACCCGAGGCGGTATCGGGTATATTGACCCGTGCCGGGGGCGGCATGTTCAAGTTACCTCCACGCAGCCGTGAATAGTTGGATGTGGGTATGTGCGCGAGGGAAAGTTGGGCAAGGGTCTGAAGGTCAGCAATTCAGAAAAAACTGTCTACGAAGTTGCATCAGTCAGTATATTTGGAGTCAATGACCGAAGCCCTTGAAAACTCTATTGAAACGGTACGGGAATGCATAAATTGTAGTGAAATATGCAAAGAATTCTACAGATAGCTTTTGTTGTGCAAAGGTACATAAACATATCTTGGAAACATGAATGGTTGATAAGGTGAGGCGTTTTCGGAATGGCAGCGTACAAAAAGTTGACTGTATATCCAGTAAGAAATATTCGTCTGGACACCTTTAATGTAAATAGAAACTCTATTGAAATCAAGCGAGTAGTATTTTTGTCTGTGGTGTTGTTTGTATGATGCTGAGATAGTGGGCATTGAACGAGGAAGTAATACAGCAGTGTTGGCTGTCGGCCGCATAGCTTCCAAGGGTAAATCCAGTACTTCAAGTCACCATGATTTCACATCAGCATAGGCAATGTCAACTTGAACCCTAATGTCCTCATAGACGATTTCTATTCTTTGGTCCACTTGCCTTGCGTATTGTCTGAACTTATGCATTTATTATTTCAGAACGATAAGGGACTATTATTTCCGGCTACAGAGGAACATCCGAACAATTTTGCTTACCTTGTCATCAATCCGAACAGACGACATGCTATCCTGCTTTCTCACGTTTTTGGTGTAGGCCAATTCTGAAGATGTGGTGCGCTAAGCTCTTCGAAGTTTGAAAAAAATATTTCCTGATATTCCCTTCTGCACAATTCCTTTATTTTTTTCATACGTTTAATGCGCTCTTTTACAAAACAAGTAGGGACATCAGAGGGCTGCCGGTTGCCTAGTGTACCAGTGGTCAAGTTTTCTTGTAAATAACAAACCCCATTCAGGAGGAAAACGACACAGGCAGAAAAAAGAGACCAAGCGCTATAGGTAGACGGGGCAATTTAGGCTCTTTTGAGTTAACCCAATTGTGAAAAAACTCGAGGCGTTTGGCGAGATTTGAACCCGCGCATCAACTAAAATTAAGCAAATCTGT